ATAAATATGGCCTATTTACTATTAAATCCCCTTATATTATAGGGTAATACTAATTAAGTAAGCTTAATATCTAGAAATTATTTAATTATTCTTATAAACTTGGAATTAATAAAAATATATTTATTTACTCTGGTATTAATAAGAGAAGAAGTCTTAATACCTAATCTATTATTACTAATTATATAAGGAAGTATAAATGCTTTACTTTTTAGTAGCTAGCTCAAATTAACTTCTATTATATCTATATAATATGGCCCTAAAAAGGAAACTTTCTTTAGGGGTTCTTATTTCCCTATTCTATATCCTTAGATAGCTTACTTATAATAAGTGCCGCTAGCTTAGCCGCCAAAACTTACTTTATATATTCTATTTTGGGCTCTAAATAGTTCCTAGATATATGACTAAATCTATTATAGTTATAGTACTTGAGATCTGAGAATCCGGTTTTCGGGATAATAGGCTTATCTATTATTAGGGTCTTAGGAGCGGGCTTTATATAAGGGGCGCCTCCTGGGCTTGGCTTATTTATACCTTTATTAGCTTTCTTAAATGCCTATTCTTTCTTTTTATAATAAGCTCGGATCTACTAGTTATTCGTAATATAGTATTATACGAACTTCGTAATATAAATAGCCGGGTTATTATAGTATATAGCTATAGCCTCTTAAAGCTTCCAGGTAAGCTTATTATTTAGGTCGTTCTTAAGGTCCTGCGAGTTAATATTTCTGTCTATTATATACCTTAGAAATAGGATATAGAACTCCTAAAAAATCTGGCCCTTTTTTATAAATAGCTTCTTAAATACTTGCCGAGTATTATACTTCTTATTCGGGTTACTATATAGCTTCTCTAGATAGGTATATAGTTCCCTAATAGTTTTATATATATATTAATTATCCTAGTTTAGGCAGGAAAAGATTAGTATAAGGGTATGGCTACCTATATGGCCGGATATATAAATAATCTTGAGGTTCTCTATCTAATAGGTATTAGAATTACTACGGAGCTTATTCTTAATCTAAACTAACTAATTATTAAAGGTAATATTATTCTTAGTTATACTTTCGAAAATAGGAGAGTTAGGAAGTTTAACTAAGTATTTATCTTCTAGAGCAAGGGAACTAGTTATCCCGGCAGGCTATATAATAAGCTTCTTAATAATGGCTTTATTCTTTTATAGGGCTTGCTTGGTTTCTTTTAGCTAATTATAATAATTCTTGCTATAGGCAAGGATATTATATGTCTTTAGAATTAGTTTAATAATCTCTTTATATAAAGCCTCTGGATTCCGAAGTAACTCTTAGAACTTTGCCTTTAATAAGGCAGGTTCCTCTTCTTCCTCTACTCTCTAGAAGAAAGTGTCTCTTCTATTATGAATATTAATGGGATACTCGGATTTTTTAGGAGACTTAATAAGAGGCTCTGGTCCATCTTCTGGTAATATACTAGTAGTATTTCGTACTATAGCTTCTTCTAACTTACCTAGTTATTCTAGGGCTTTCTTTTATTCTAATATTAGTTAACTAGTTCGGGAATAGCTATGGTATATTATATCTATATTTATTAAAAACCGATTAGGTAAATATTATTTAGATTCTCCGCAGGATTAAGAAATGGGTAAGTTTTGAATTATATTATAAGTATAGGATCTAGGGCCTGGAAGGTATAGTTAGACTATTTCTATCTCGATAATTTAAAGCTAAAGAGAAAAGAGGATCCCGAAAGAGCCTCGGATCTAAATAATCGCGAGCTATATACGGGCCCATATACTAGCTTAAGCTCGGAGTCACGTATAATAATCAGGTAATTATAGATGCCTTACTCAGATACCAGATACCTCTCTAGCTCTAGTCTAACCCCTACTAGTACTATATATCGTAATAACCATAATACTTGGAGGCTTCTAAAAGGCCCTATTAAAAGTATTAGATAAGCCTTTACTATTACTTATATTAGAATTAATCTAGTTAACTTCTTTTATAGAAATAGCTTTAGTAAAAGATTATATATTTTGCAGATTTCGAGATATAATTACTTATTAAACTACTTTTTTTAAGAATAGAGAGATTAGCTTATAAGATATTTATTAGTAAATAATAAGATAATAAAATAAATTAGTAAATTATAAAATTATAATATTAAATTTAATATAGAACTAATCTCTATTTCTCTTATAAAGTTCAGGAAAGCCTTCTCTAAATAAAAGGCTCTAATAATATATATATATATATAATTAGTAATTTATAAGCCTAATACTTATAATATAAATAGTAGTTAGTTATAATATTAAAGAACTACTAATTTCCCTAATTAATACCTGTAATATTCGAGGTTTATTACATGCTCTTAAATTATATATAACCCTATATATATTATAAATAATATATATATAATTAATAATATATAAGTCTAATACTTGTAATATAAATAGTAGTTAACTATAATAATAAAGAACTATTAATTTCTCTAATTAATATCTATAATATTCGAGGTTTATTATATATTCTTTAGTTATATATAATTCTATATATATAATAGCCTAATTATAAATAAGTTTATTATATTTATTAGTAATTTAGATAATAAAACATAAATAATTAAAAATAGCTTTTTATCTATTTTATTTTTAGAAATTTTAATAGAGATTTGGCTTATATTTTTATTTATTATATTTTATAATTATTTAATAAATAGCTAGGCTATTAGAATATAATATAAAGACTTTATATTTATTATTAATTTAAGCTTTATAAGGGCCTAATATAAATAGAATAGGCTAATATTCTTTATATAAAGCTTTAATTAAATCTATTATATAAATAAAACTAAATATATTTCTTATATTACTTTAACTAATTAATAAATATTATTATAAAATATATAAATTATATTTATTATAATTATATTCTTTTATTTTTATTATATAAATAAGTAATTTTAGATAATTTTATAACTATTATTTTATTATAATATTATTATATAATTTGAGTTATTTAATTAGTTAGCTTTTTAGAAAACATTCCGGTTTATTTATATTTATTATAAGGCTAATAAAGTAGCTAATAGTTTTTAAATATATAAAGCTCTTTAGTTTCTTCTAGTAAAAAGTATTAATTATTATTTTATTTATTTAAAATATTAGAGATATTTACTAAAATAAGGGTTTTAAAATAAATAAATATTTAATTATTTAATTTACTATTCTTTTTATTTATATTATTTCCTAAAATAGTAATATTAAACCCGATATAATTTGAATTCTATAACTAATATAATCTAAAGAGATTAGGAACTTTAAATCTTTTATAATATTATAAATCTAGGCTATATTTTTTTTTATTTAATTTAATTTTCTATTATTCTAAAGGCTTCTTTTTAAAATAGTTTTATTAATATTTATATTTACTTATATATCTTGGAATAGTTTACTAATTAATAAACTTATAGTTAATAATCTTATTATAAATATTTTTATTTTATTATTACTATTATTTTTATTTTTATTATCTTTTTTATTTAAGTCATTTATTCTTATAATATAACTATTAGTAGCTATCTTAAATAAGCCAGACTATAGCCTATATTTCAAATACTAATTTACTAATTACTATTTCTTGAAATTAGACTTAATTATTCTAAGGAGAATTTTTACTATTATATTATCTATTTCTTAATTACTTAGCTTTTTAAAAAGTAGTTTAACTTATATAGCTATCTAGTTATACTATTATTTTTCTATAACTTACTAGCCCTTTTTTTTTAAAATAGAAATTACTAGGAGATTCGAAATATTATATATTTATTTAAATATAATAATATTTATAAATTATATATTTATTTCAGGCCTATAGCTATTACTATTACTAAAACCTAGAAAAGCTTCTAATATAAGATACTATAAGTTTCTATAAAATATTTTAAGAAAAGTATTATTATTTTTAATTTTAGAAAGATTAAAATTAGTAATAATAATAGTAAATAGCTTTTTTTTAACTAGGAAATTCTCGGGCTTAAAATTACGATATATTATTCTATTTTTATAGGGATGACTAAGGCTGAAAAATATTTATATGTAGATAATAATATATTAATTATAAAATATACTAATATTTTTAATATTTCCTAGAGAATATAACTTTATTATAAGAATAGATTTAATTATTTTAATAAAATCTATTACCTGTATTATATTAGGCTACTTAATGATTAGTATTATAATTTTAATAAGAATTCGAGTATTTAGCTTGAGGTAGTTAATTAATCTGTCCAAGTCACGTGCATAGCGGAATTGGTCAAAAGATAGTAAAGGAGTCAAATTGATGTCTAAATCTAGTTAGAGCGACTCCGGGCTTATAACTGTTAATTGAAGGTTGATTTGGGAACAGAATATAATAGCATTTATTAACCAACTGATATTTAAAGAATTAAAGACGGTGGGGAAGAGCTCCCTTAAGCTATAGGAATAAGCAAATATAAACCGTAATAAACTAGGCATTCCGATCCAATAGGCTGGTTATGACTGTAATTAGGATTTACTTATTCAGCATTTTTCTCACGATCTGCACTTAGGACAACAAAACAAACCGCGCTATTCGATAGAGCATACTCTAGTGCATCATTGATTAGATTTATCTAGCATGTTGCAATAGTTGGTTTACTGCTATTACTTGGCCAGCAGGCCGTCCCGTGGTTGTCGTCATTGGGGGATTGGAAGCTGCTGTGGCTATTTCTAATGTTATAGAGACTATTTAAAGATGCATAAAGGAGGGGTAAATCTTGGGACGTTGTGGGTAGCAAACTGTTATCACGTCCTAATTAGGCCTAGTGTTTGCCCCTTTTCTATGCATAAATCCACTTCCATCCTCAAGCAATCAAAAAACTATCTTAATTCCCCCTTCGTGCACAGTGACACTCCCTTGGCAAAGCAACATTCACCAACTTGTTCAAAACGATTCCCTAGGAAATTTGCAATAATGGAAAAGTCTGTGAATATTGTCAACTATGAACCGTTGCCTTCAGATGGATCTCAGATCCGTCTCGTAACGATAATCTCCGCCAAGAAGGAGGAAGAGATCGAGTGTGTGATAGCGCACTTTCCCTTCACCAAGGAAGCCGTAGATAACCTGAAATATGAAGCATTTTCCTACGTTTGGGGTGACGCGACCGTCACCGCTCCCATCAAACTCAATGGGCAAACATTTCACGCAACGAAGAATCTCGAGGCTGCTCTGCGCATATTGCGGCTTCAAAATGAAGAACGACTCATATGGATTGATGCGATATGCATCAACCAGTCCAGCATTGAAGAGCGAAATCAAGAAGTTCGCCACATGGATCAGATCTATCAGTACGCTGTGCGTGCCGTGTCTGGCTTGGCTCGGAGAGAGAATCATCAGAAGATATCACACTGGCTGGCATGGATCCTCGCCGTAACAACCAAGTTGCCAACGATACTTACGATTTATTTATTTTGCTGGCAAATGCGGATCCCAATGATCCCGAGGATGCTGCGATGATCTTACATAGGACAGGCAATGAAATATACGGGTTATCGCTGCTGAACAGATTTTCCAATCGTCCACGGTTTAGGCGGGTTTGGATCCTGCAGGAAATAGCGCTGGCAAAGACTGCGACAGTTATATATGGACACAGGTCGATGAATTGGGATCTGCTTATGAAGGCTGTCGATGCTCTCAACAAACTCCAGCAGAGCAAGAATAGGCACATTTGGAATTTGACTGCTGCAAATAGAGCAGATAAGGTCCATCGATGTCGGACACGAGCTCTCCAAAACCAGCAACAAGCCCAGGTGGCGATGCACTTTCAGCTGGTTGATTTTCTTTGGCAGACACGGTTCTGTGAGATGACGGAACCTAGGGATCGCTTGTATGGTCTTTTAGGGCTGATAAATGGCGATTTGAGTAGTGAGAAGCTGCTTGAAATCGACTACGCGAAGCCGGTCTCGGATGTATTTTTGGAGTTGAGTATTTTCATGATTCAGCGTGGTTTGTTTTCGCATACTTTGTGCTGCGTCGCAAACTCAATGGACGGTTTGCCGTCGTGGGCATCAGATTGGAAGGCCCCGTTGTTTGCATTTAGTCCGGATGGTTCTCCTGCTTCGGGGCTTTCAAAAAGCATCGTAGCCTACATGCAGTCATATCAGCTTCGGGGTCTCGAGCCGCCCCCAAACCCCCCTCGATTTTCACCAGACCTCCGCCAATTGACTCTCAGGGGCCGCGTTTTTGACGCCTTCGGAATCTGGCATATCGCCAAACGCTTCGACCTCGCAGCGCCCGACGATCAGTCCTGGGACGAAAAGGTCCAACTTTTTCGCGACAGGCTTAATCGTGCGTCAAGACTTGCACTAAAGCCCCTGCGTCCCTGCGGGTTTAGTGCGTATCAGCGATACGGTCATTTTTTTAGAATAGTAATTTTCGGAATTTTAGTGAAAATCAAAGAAAAATATTATGTAATTTATATAGAGTTTATACTATAATTAATAAATAAAATTCTCTGATTTTTATATTATATATATATATAGTAAAAAATAGTAGAAATATTATATATTTTACCTTATTAGTAATTCTCCCAAAATATTACTATCCTAAGAAATTAATTAATTATATAATAATTATATTTTTATTTATATATCTAATAATTATTTCCTTACTATTAGTATCTAATCTAATTATATTACTAAAGCTATTATTATAAAATAAAGGAGAATCTAGGAGTAGCCTAATAAAATCAAGCTCTCTAGCTAGCTATTTTACTTATATATTATTAAACTTATTAATTTACTTCTTCTTATATTTAGGAGAAGCTAGCCTAAAATCTATCTTATTTATATAAAAGACCTTTATTTTGTAATTAATTTTCTTCTATTTCCTTTATTTTTCTATTAACTTTTAATAATAAACCTTAAGACTAGTTTTATTTTAATTAATAAATAGTAATTTCTTTTTATAGCTAAAGGGCTTCCCTAAATTATATAAAACTTTTTTCTTATAAATATGCCTTTTATATAGGGATTTACTAGTAGTATACTTTATAATATATATATTAGTTTCCCTAATTTAGTAATTTAGATAAATATTATTATTTATCTTATTTATAATAAAAAGAAACTCTTTATAATAAGTAATTTAATATATAGCCGAGCCTTTAGAAATAATTTCATACTTTTATATATATTTTTTATTATCTTTATCTAGCTTATTATATTATTCTTAAAATACTGCCTTTTCTTTTATAAGCTCTCTTTCTATAATTAGCCCTGCCCTAAATAGCTTAGGCTTAGTTAATTTCTAATATATTTTCTATAATTTTTAAAAACTAAATATAAGAATATATTTCTTATTATTTTTTATTAGAATAAAATAGTTATTAAAATATTAATTTATATATTATATAATTTATAAATATAAAGAAGTTCTAGAAAAGTTTTAATATTAAAGGAATTTATAGAAATAAAATCTCTATTTATTTACCTACTATAAAATTAGCCTATATTACTATATAAATTTATAGCTAATTAATAAACCTTTTTTTAATTAAAATTAAGCTAGCTTCTTATATATATATTATATAATTTTATATTTTAAAAGGCCTGCTTTAGTAAAAGTACTAATAATTATTCTATTTTAAATATTTTTCTTTATATTATTTAATATATTACTAGAAAATCGAGCTTAATATAAATAATATTATTATACTAGATCTTATTATACTAATTTAATACTAGTATTTAAGAAATTAAAAGAGTCTAATATTAAATAATTAAAGGAGATATATACTATATAATAGTAATTAAAAAGAGACGATTTTATAAGACTAGTAATAATATAGGAATTTATCTAAAATATTAATATTTTTTACTTATTTTATATATATTTATATATCTAATTATAGAAGTATTTAATATATTTTAGGCTAAAAATATTATTTATATATTTAGTCGAACTTATAGTAAATATAATAATAGAATTAATATAATAGTTAAAGGCTTAAAGTTTAAAGAATCTTATATATTAGAAAATACTAAGCTATAAAATAAAATAGAATACTTTAACTTTTAGTATTATTCTATCTAAGTAATTCCGGCTTAGCTTTATTTTATATCTATTTCTAATATCCTGTTTTTAGTAGATTATACTCTTATACTAGCTATTATATTACTTTCTCCTAAAAAGAAATCTAAATACCCTTATTTAGGGAATTATTTAGTTATAATATAAAAAGAAAAAAGAGGAAATAATGGCTATTAACCCTATTTTATCTAATTCCTATAGCTTATTTATAATTAAAGTATGGTTTTAACTTTACTAGAATAACCCAGTTTCTAGTATATTCTAGCTAGTTTTTAGTATTTATTACTTGTATTATACTTATACCCATATTAATAATATAGTCTGGAAGTGCTATATAGACTATAGCTAATATTAGAACTATTATTATTAGGTAGTTTTCGAATAGAAATAATAGATTAAGTTTATCTATTAATATAGGCTTTAATATAATAGCTTACTTGCGTTTCTTTTTAGTTAGAATAGTAATATTTGGCTTAATTATATTACTTCTAAGCTATTTAATTAATTTCTGAGCCTTCTTAAGCTTAATATATATGTTTTTAAGTTATTTCTTTATTATAGAGACTTATATATTAAGGCTAGCTACTTAAGCTATTTTATTATTAAATTTCCGGGCCTTAAGCTATATGATTTTAGTTTTATAAAAGCTTCTAAAAGGTTTTCAGATTTCCCAAATAGTATTATATACTAATTCATTAATATCTATAAAATATTATTTCTTTAATTTAGCCTTTAGAATTATTTACTAGCTTTTGGTTTTAGACTAATACTTTATATAATATCTATTACTTAATCCTATATATCTCCTAATTATAATATATATCTTAATATTAGTTTAGCTACCTTTATTATAATTAAAGTCTTATTTATTACTAGAAGTTTTTCTGTTCTTAGTTTTTTTATTATTAGAATTCTTACTATTATCTAATATCTTATATTTCTTAAATATACTAGCCTTACTCTTTTTAATATTTTTAGTATTTGGCTCTATAAAGTTAATAAAGAAGCCCTTATTAGTACTATTCATTCCGCCTATTAGGCTATTAGATTTATTATTACTAGTAACTAAAGCCTTTATTTTATTATTCTTAGAATATTTTACTAAGATATTCTCTATAATAATTTCAGGTATATTCTTAAAAATAATACGGGCTATATTCTATATATTAATCTATTTTTAGATAAGGAAGTTATTATTTTCGTCTATAAAGGTAGTTTGGCTAGTAGTTATATTAATAATAATTATAGCTACTAAACTTGAAATACTATTACTATTATTTAAGTTATCCAGAATCTAGTAAGTAGCCTTATTTAGTTTAGTTATAAATAATATATTATCGGGATTTCTTGTCTATTTTATCTTTATTAATAGTTTTATTAAGGCAGTAATAGTAATATAAATAGTTGAGATTATAAAGATTAAAATAGTTAGGAAAGTTTCCCTCGATTTTTAATAATATTTCGAACTAATATAAGTAAGTATTTATTTTTAGCTTAGCTTTAAGAATTTACTTTTTTTTTGTAATTTGCCTAGATAGTAAAGTATAATCTAATATAATAAAGAAAAGTATTTTGCCCAGATTTCTGGAAAAGAAAATAGGTACTAATATAGTAAAATAAAGGAAATATACTAGGATTTAAATAAAACCCGGGAAATATCTATGTTTTTCTTTTTCTTTTCTAGTTATAGAGGTCTTATTATTAAGGATTATTATTATCTAGGTAGTTTTTATTAAACTTATTCTCTTTAGTATATTAAATTTATTTATTTAGCTAGATAAGAAGTCTTACTTTACTAGGGTTTTACTTATAGAATTTATAGAATTTAAATATTAAGTTCTTAAAAGTTTAATATAAGGTATTATTTATTATTTATATTCTATTTCTTTTATTTAATCTTATAATAAAGCTTATTATAAAGTACTTTAGAAAAAAGAATCTTTTCGAGTTCTTATTCGAGTTTACTATTAACTTTAGTAGAACTAGGCTCTTTATTAGTTTAGCCAGATAATAGGTTAGTAGAATTCTTATAAAGTCTATTTATATAGAAAATTAGCCAAATTCTATATAATAGAGAAAGGTCTAATTAATATAAATAGCCGACTATTTTATTAATCTTAAATAGTCTAGTAAGGAAATAGTCTAATTTATTAGATAAATAGTTCGTTTTCTATATCTTTTTAATTATATAAACTATATTTTCTAGACTAAAGTCTAGTTCTTATTATTTCTTATTAGCTTACTTGGCTTAATATTCCTGAGCTATTATTATATATTTTCGGGTA